CAATGGAGGAGATTTGGCCTATTTTGGGGTGAGGAGTTGGGGAGGGGTTGGCTGTACAGAGGAAGGGTGAAGGCGAAGGAGGGGGGAGGAGGGGAGCAGTATTTGTCTGATCTGAGAACCTCTGAAACGGGGCCGTCTTGAGACAACGGGACAGACTAAATAGTGCAGTAACGGTCTGTGCCCCGCTGCTTGCTGTGACACTCATTTAGTGTGCCCTGAGGGCGAACAATAGAGGCTTGTTCTTAGCAATCCTATGCTGTAATTTGGACTTCATTACTTTGCTCACACGGGGCCCCATAGAAGGATAGAGGAGGCTAGTCAAATGAGAGTGTTTTTTTCCACCTGTCAGCCCTGCACCCCCAAATGCTCTCACCCCTCTCCTCAACAATACCCCTCACCCCGTGTCCCCACCAATAACCCTCACCCGACCCCCTTCCCATAGCCTCCCCCCACCAGCCACCCACTTTAAGCCAATGAGACAGGTGAACAATATCATTGAAGGAGCCCTTTTTTGGACGTCAGAATCAATCTGGCGATGTGATGGTAGTGGTGCTGGTGTGGGGTATCTGTGACACCCCCTTTCTTCATGGGAACAAACTTCTCTCAGGGCAGCACAAGCAGACAATATGCTGGGACAGCGTGACTTAGGGATCTGCCATACAGTATTACAAGTAATAACATGAACAGATAAGCTCCTGTCAAGAGGAGGATTAATGAATTCAGGCGGTGATGATAATGCTAATGTTTTAGGCTTTCATTCAGAGCACTGACAAAATCTAAAGGCTTGTTGTTTTCCATTCAGGTTTCCTTTGGTGTCCTGCAGGTATTTCTTTTTAAGAAAGCTGTCTGCAGCATGCACAAGTGTTTCTAATGGCACTGTGCTAGAAAGGCTGAACATTTAATGGGCGTTCTCAGTGCAGGAGGACAAGAAAGAAAGGGTTGAAGAAAGCACCTGACCAAAGAAAAAAAGTTCTCCTCTTGCATGTGTTATTTGTAGCTTTATATAATACAAAGTGCACTGGGTTGTAGCTATAATTAAACAACTGACGGCCCAATCACGTGCACGGCGGAAAGAATGATTATGTAATGAATCCACTAAGCCATTGTCAGATCAGGTGAATTGCCTTGCTACCTCAGAGCACAACCAATTGTATTTTAATTAAGAGATGGTCCCTCATCTTGGTCTAGAGTGTCAGTGTTGCCTGAGACAGAGTGACCTCATCTAAGTGAGAAGTAGCTTTAGACGAGAGAGGGAGGGAGGGTGGAGGGAGTTGCTGCTTAGACACAGCAATTACCAACTAAGTAACAGGAAAGTTTATCTTCCTCTTAAAGAGGATTCTGTCTAAGTGTCTCATGCGTTTGTATTTTTTTTTCACTAAAGAGAAAGAGACTAAAAGACTGTATTTAGTATTCTTCAGCTCAGGTTACACTGATCAGAGCCTTGTATCCAAAAAGCATCTTACAACAACAGTTCCACATTTTAGGAAGTACATTAATTCACTTTCTGGTGACCACTGGCCATCAATAAATGGCCATCAATAGAGTGGTGCAGCAGTGAGTCCTAAAACCCGGGAATAAGTTGGCATTTTAGTTCTTGTTTCCTTGTCTTGAAGTCAATGGGTTTTTTGAATGGGTTTTTGGTGAGATGCCTGAAATAAGGCCTGTGGTTCACACTTAGACTTTCAGGTTTTGTTCTACAACATAAAATAGGTCAGTAAATATCCCACGTGTGAATTTTGAAGCTTTTACGTGTCTTAAAATTTGCAGTTGCTAATAAGTGGCTAAATGTGAGAGAAGAGTGTCATCACACTGTGCACAGCCTTTTTTCGATGGAACAAGGGCGATATTAACTTCGACCTTGGCCTACAAATAAACATCCTCCCTGCAGCACTCTATTGTGAAGCCTCTGTCAGCACCTGGTTAGTGTACCTTAGCACAAAGACTGGAAACAAAGAAATTGCTGTTTTTACACTTTAGTTTATGTACAGATCACACAAATGAGATTAAAAAAAAGTGCTAATCAGTAAGTGTTAGAGGTTCCTATGTAGGCAGATTTTGCCACTTTCAAACTGATCCAGACATGCTGTTTCCCCATTTTTCCAGTCTTTGTGCTAAGCTAAGTGAAGTTGCTACTGACTGTAGCTTTAGATTTAACTGAGTATGACAGTGGTATTGATTTTCTAACTCTCTGCCAGAGAGTGAATTTTCCGAAATGTCGGAACTCTTTGTTTGAGGTGATGATCAATAATTTTAAAGTGCACACATTTTCAAAATACATACATGTTATTCGTGTGGTCTACGACAGTACAAAATATTAATATACATGGAAAAACTCCTTCCCAAATCAAAACCATAGAGCTCTAAAACTGATGTCATTGAGTATACAGAGCTGAGCTCCAGTGACAATGCAGTGAATGGGGGAACATGTTACAGATGACACTGAGAGCTCCCAGGGGAATGTTCTGGGTATGTGGGTACATTTTCTTTTTCAGAACTGAGAATACTACAATAGAATAAAGCTCATTTGGGTATTTAAAGGAAAACAAACATTCTGTGGGTCCACAAAATCAGTCTCCCATTCACTGTCTATGGAGCAGCTCCAGACTTCATATTGATGGCATCACAAGGGGCCTCTAAGGAGTCTTAGGGGCCTAATTCTCTGGTTTCTGACTTTGAGAGAGTAGCTCATGTTGACAAATATTGATTGCACTTCAGGTGGTGTTCCACTTAAACCCATACACTCACAATGGGACCACGATCATCTTAGCCTTTAGATGCCTCACACCACTCACAGAACTAAATTCACACTGAACTGTACCTTTGAAATTCTTTGACAACACCTGATACAATGACCCAATATGTAAACTACAGCAAGTTCTTTGAAATGCAACAAATTACAACACAAAAGAAAGTTCAAACCTGCATTTCCGAAGTTGTATTGTTCTGCTGTCAGATGCAGAATCTCAATGAGGATCCAAACTGTAAAAAAATCTCGTCAGTGAAGCCAGACAAGAATAGCGTGTCCTCCTGTATCTGCTTGCATGGAGACAATCAGTGAACCTGTAAACACTGGATTGTTGACAGTTAGTTGGCAAAAGTCCAGTTTCCACAATACTAATAAAAAAACACATTTACTGTCCTCTCCCCTGGTTTGTGTAGTAGCTCATTCATCTAGAGTGCAGTAGTGGTAGTGTTGGTGATGCTGCATGGAGGCCTATGTGCACATATGCTCCTCCACATCATCCTGACCCAGGCTCATGGCACTGTGGGCTGGGTGCTTAATGATTCATGTCGTGGGAGGTGGAGGGACAGGGAGATCTTACTCAGTGCTTACCTGGGTATCCACTGCTCTGCTGAGTGTAACATAACGATACAGAAACAGGATCCAAACCACACCAATGCAACCATCCCCCTGTCCCTCTCTCTCCGTCTTCTCTGTGTCTGAGCTCCATTACATCACGACCAACAGCTTAAAAGCCCCCAGTCTCCTTCTCCCTGACGGTACAGTCTAGATCTGGTTACTGATCTTTGATTAGATGGATACATTACAGCCTAATCACTAACTGATTTATTACTCAGTATAACAATGCTGGACAGGGGAGCACCATTGTTTTGAAGGGTAGTCTGAGCTGCCAGTGCTTAATGCTTCTTTACAGTGCCACCAGGTTGATGGCCAAATGCAATTACCTCACTCTTTGCTTGGGTGAAAACAATTATTAGATAACAGCACCTTTAATTGAAGCTCCTTCAATAACATTCAAAAGTCAGACGACTGAATATTTTGTGGGCATCTGATGCTTATAGAGAGTTGACAGTGTGGAGTTGACAGGTATAAGGAGAAAGAGAGATGGGGATTTACAGGTAATAAAGGTCCCTGAACTGGCTTGAACCAGAGACTGGAATTTGTGGTCAGCACCTTATACCCAAAGGCCACCAAGTCTATAATCAGCCCCTCTGCTTCAACTTTGATTTAATTGTAATTATGATGGAATTTGGCTTGCAGCCAGGTGAAACACAACACATGTAAATTTAAACATAAAACATAAAATCCAAAAAATATATCAAGGAAATTATGTAAAACACAAGCTGCAACCCACCAGACAAGCTCATGTAAAACATTGTACATCCTATTAAAACCATTATAGCAGGGGTAGGCCGAAAGTACACCTTCCTCCTGCAGCTCCCCTCTCTTCTCTGTAATTTGTGACCCATCTACGACCCAAGCCTAATGTTTAATGGACCACTTGAGATTGCTCTCTTCTTCACTTCCATCAGGACACTGGTCACGTGAGCACAGCCTTCCAAAATTATGCACAAATTACTGGCTCATGATTACGTGGGATGTGTTAGTATTTTGATGCATTACTTTCGTAGGAAAATTCCCATACACTGACACCTTTTTTCACATTGGAGTTGCACACAGCTCATTCGCTCAGCCCCACCTTGTCCTTGCCCCTCCTCTCTGCTTACCAGATCACAAATGAAACAAGAATTAGCTCGCTAGCCATCCCATGGTCTCTTGGCCTCGCTCCTCGACATTATGGCTACTGTCACAGTGGGCTGGTAGCCAGCAGCAGTGCTGGCAACTTCCTCTGCAGGTTTCTCTGCCGTTGAATCAGGCTTTCACCGCATCTGCATTTGTAGATCAGTCAATAGGAACGCCCTCTCTCTGAAATGACCTGTAATTTGCCAAAGTCTCCTGTCATGGGCTACATTTTCTACAGCCTGAAAACAGAGCCAAGAGGATGTTCCATCAAAAGTACAATATGTTCAAAGTTCTATTATGGAACATTAGCCCAAAGACAGCAACAAAAAAACTGCCCACACCAGCTTTAACAATGCATGTATAAACTGGAAGAAGGCAAGTGGAATGTAATACTTCATCATCATTTTGGGCCACATGTGCGTCTCTAAATATATCCCAATATTTTTTTTTCCGTATATAAAGACACAGATCAGAATTGTAAGGACATCACATGATGTATCCACCCTGTTTCCTCTCACTGTGACCCAGGCCCGTCTTCTGACCCAGCTGACATCAGAGCGTTAGACCAGAGGGATGTCAGTGAGATTAATGGGTTATCAATGTATGTTGAGTCTGAAGTCAGAGTTCTCAGTGTCCCAAAGGTGGCACTCTTTTAACCTGGCTAGATCACCATGGCAACTAATGCTGTGGGCCGAACCTGGTCCGAACCAGTTCAGTTTTGGATTGAAATCTGCCAAAAAGCACCTTTCACTTCTTTGGGAAAAATGTTCTCCATCTAAGTATAGCCCACATTTAATAGTGGGTGCCAGACAAAAATGTCATTAGTTTAGCATGAATTTTCTGATAAATTAAATGGCAAAGCATCCAATAGTTGTTGAGTCATAAAACCACAAATGTCAACCTCATGGTTAGAGCAGGGGTGTCAACATCATTTTAGTTTGTGGGCCACATACAGCCCAGTTGATCTCAAGTAAAAAAATAAGTGCAATGTCAAAAATATGTCTGTTACTTGCTGTCAATACATGTACATTTCCACTCCTGTGTGGTAATGCTGATATCACCACACCAAACTAAAGTG